TGGAAACAACAAGCAGGAATAACAAAGCAACTCCAAGGACTGCAGAATCTTGCCCTAAGAAAAATCCTAGGAACCTTTAGGACCTCTCCTATAGCACCACAGGAGACAGAGGCAGCACTTCCTCCCCCTGCTATAAGACTAAATACTGCTCTAAGAAAGTACGCCTTTAGAGCTAGAAAGCTACCTAAAGACCACCCTGTTTACATTGTAATTAAGACTCTAAAAGCTACTCTACAGTTACAAAGAGAAGACTTAGAGTCTAGCACAGAACAAGAGGAAGAAGCTGCTCTCCTAAGGCTAAGAACAGGCCTACCTACTTAGCTTATGCGAATTATACAATTAATACAAAACGCTACTCTAAGCACAGAAGAAGAAAAACTGCAGGACTACTATTTCTGCCCCTAGAACAAGACTATATTATACACAGCAGAGATCTCTAAACTCTCTAAAGAAGAAGAAGCAGAGCAACACAAAACGCAAATGCTATAGAGACTAGGAGACAACCTACTTGCTATCTACACAGACGCCTCCTCTATTAAGAAAGGCACAGGAATAGGAATAGGAGTTACTGCTCTAGACTATAAACAGCAGGCTAAGGAGATCTACTCTACTAAATATAATATTAGCAAAGGCCAGATTGTATACAATAGAGAGCTAGAAGGCATAACAAGAGCCTTTAAGTTTGCAGCTTCTATAGCTACAGCAACACAAGAGATCTAAGTCTTTGCAGACAACTAGGCAGCTATTCTAAGGCTAAAGACCCCTTCTAATAACCCTAGACAAGCTTAGCAAATCCACTGCACAAAGGCAGTAAAGGCAATTCACAGCAAAGGCGCAACAGTTAGCCTACACTAGACCCTAGGACACCTGGATATTACAGGAAACGAAAAAGCAGACTCCTTAGCAAAACAAGCTGCAAAACAGCAACTAGCATCTAACACTACAAGCCTTGCAATAACAGGTATTAGGATTAAAGCTATTGCAAGACAAGATTAGCAACATAAACTCCAAGCCTACTCTATAAAAGCAAAGCTTAGGAATCCTAGCACCTACGCAGCAAGGTTCTTGCTAAAGCCAACAAGCAAGATAACAATACCAAAAAACACTAGAAGAGAAATTGCAAGCGCATACTACCAGCTTAAACTTGGACATGGATACAACAAAGCATACCTATACAATAGACAAAAAACAGAAAGCTCTAAATGCATCTGTGGATATACACAAACACCTTAACACCTACTGCTTAGCTGTAGAAACTACAGAGAAGCAAGAAAGAAAATAAAGAGCAGCCTACAGGAGACAAGGCTAACAATGCCTCTTCTCCTAGACACAAATAGGGGAATCCAAGCTACTCTAGCTTTTATTCAAGAAACTAAAGTAGGCACACGAAAGTGGTATCTACAGCAAACAACAGACAACTAATTTCCTTTGTCTATAACTAGAGCAGAGGCTCTTACTATATGTCTATAAACCTATATATACTATTCCCTTATACAGAAAAAACTTGTAAATTACTAGAGCAGCCTCACTGCTCTCGTCCTATATAGTCTTAGACTCACACAGGACGTTAAACTAATCAATCAATCAATCAATCAATCAATATTAAATTGCAAGGTAGCTGTAGCTGTTGTAGTATAGCAAGTAGTTGGTTTAGAGCGACGTGGTTAAAGGCGCCTTTAATGTCTAGGAATACTGTAGAGGTTGTGCGTTTTAGTTTTCTTTGCTCTTGGACCTGGTTTAGCAGCAGTATAGATGCGTCTATTGCGGATTTTTGTGCTCTTCCACCTAGTTGTGAGGGGTGGAGAAGAGCTGTTGTTTCTGCAAGTGTTCTAAGTTGTTTTGCTACTACTCTTTCTGCAACCTTGCCTAGGCAGCTAAGCAAGGCAATTACTCTATAGGCTTTAGGTGCAGTGTAATTAGGCTTGTTTGGCTTTTTTAGGATAATTCCTGTTGCTTTCTTCTATTCCTGTAGGTGGTAGCTGTAGTTAAGTAGAGTAGAGAAAACAAAGAAGAATGTTTCTGTCTGTGCTTTATATGCTGCAGTGACAATCTCTTGTGTTAGAGCGTCTGGTCCT